GAAGGATGGGTAGAAGGGAGAACAAAGAACAAAGAACAAGCTCAATAGTACATAGAGGATCTGAGATGCAGACATGAGGGATCACTCAGCCAGGCAGAGAGACCAACACCCATCCATGAACATCTTAGAAACAGCTGCCCTTCACAACCCCCGTACACACACATACATACATACAGGGGTAGCAGTCTTGAAACTCTGTTTGGCTGAGATTATGACATCAGCCATGTTCCATTCTAAGGTGTGTCCATAATCATTGCCATACTGATGGTAACTACTGTCTTATTGACAGCTCTCTTTCTCCACTTACAGCCATCATGTCTGACAAACCCAATATGAGGGAAATCTCCAGCTTTGATAAGACCAAGCTGAAGAAGACGGAGACCAGAGTGAAGAACCCATTGCCAACCAAAGAAAGTGAGTGAATCTTGTCAATCTAGCTGTGTGATGAATGTACTTGAGCCAGGGCGCAGCCCTGTGAGGCGTGCCATGGGTTGTTAGATGGTTCACTGTTCTTACTGGCATCTCTCCCTAGCAACATGACCAGGCAAAAAAAAAAATGACATTATCTCCCGTCCATGCAAGGGCAACTGTGTGTGTTCAGGGGGAGGGTATTGTATATAATAGGTTGATTGACAAAGGAAATGCAAATATGTGACAGATTAACTAAAGCATTAACCAAGGATTCCTTATAAAAGACACATTGTACTGTACCCTGTCCCAAATAAGGGAGGAGTTCTCTTAATTTACATACATTTTACATGGTGACAGTGGTGATGAGTCAACATCTGTGCTTCACTCGAGCTGCAATCTGTGAAAGTGATCTTCTTAGTCAGGGTGTCTCAGCCATCTCACAACCATTTTGCCTTAAGGGAGGATGAGAGAAGTTCATTGTATCATCCGTATCGTTCAATAATGGAAATATGTTTATTATTCATGAATATCAGAGATGGCTGTCTTCATTGCAAAGGGTTCAACATTTGCTTTGTTTCTCTGTTGTAGCAATCGATCAAGAGAGGAAGCGAGAGCCATCGCCTTGACCAGAGGAAGAGAAGAGTTTCAGACAAGCTACTTTAATATGATTATCTGACCTATGTCTGCCAAGAACCAACAGTATAACAGGACCTTGACTTTTATCACACTGGTGCTAAAAAAATATCTGATGTGGAAAGATCTGATGTGATTGGTCAAAAGAAAAGATCAGTATTGGGCTGCCTGTGTAAACACCGCCTTAGTCCGAGTAATAAAGGCGACACTGAGAAAAAACTGGTTCATTTTATGTTAACAGGTTGTGTCCTCAATAAATTCAAGTACACTACAGGCCTAAAGAAAAGTCCCAGTCACACTGGCAGCTATTTAACAGTATTTTATAGTTTATTATCCTCTTCAGATATACAGTCTTCCACATTTCCCAAAACCTTAGAATAGCAGCTGCAATTTAATAAACATTGATTAGTGGCTAGCCTGGGTGCCAGTCAGTTTCTGCTCTCTTGCCAACTCCTTGTCAAATTGTTTGGCTTGATAATGGAGTAGGCAAAACCACAAATAGATCTGGGACCAGGCTAATTGGTTGTAGCCTACCTCGATTAGTTGACCTGTCTTGGCACTTTTGGAGGACTGTTGTTCATGACATATTACCATTTGTTTAGATTTAATTACAAGTAATCTTGCTTTTTACTACATTTTGACATTGTTAAAAGGATGTTTCCGCCCGGTTTCAAACCAGGGACCTGCAAATATCGCTGAAGAGCAAGGAGGGGGATTTTCAACACTGATTGGCTCCTGTGAAATGACACAAGGAATATTATTTTCAGTGTGTCAATTCAATCAAATTCCTAGCCTGAGTGCCAGTATGTTTGTGCCAACTCCTTGTCATGCCAAACATGACAATTTAATTTGGCCTGACAATGAACAATTGAGTTGGCAAGAGCACAAACAGATCTGGGACCAGGCTGAGACTATCAAATTCCCACATTTAAAAAAAGTTTGACTGCACCATGAAAGAACATCGTTTGCTCTAACATTTGCTACGTTGCGGAACGGTTTGTACTGAACGACAAGTTTCCCCAAAATGTTCTTGAACAGACTGAGGTACGTTTGCTGGGTGTGGCTTGAAGTAATGAGTGACCTATTTAAAGGGCAGTGGCCATGCTAACCTCGTTCCCCACCCCATTTTTCAACTGGTAATTCAATACCGCACCGTTGCAGTTCAATTGAACATTCCATAACATGAAAACATACGTACCGAATGCCACCATGTTCAATACAATTGACCTACAGCCTGTATACTATAAGTGAAACGCTTCACAGACCATTTGTCACTGGATACTGTAGAACCCTCAAACACAACTATGGAACGCGACACCAGTTCAACAGCTTTTTTTTTTTTTTTTTCTTCAATGTTCCCCTCTAATCAGGGACTGATTTAGACCTGGTACACCAGGTGTGTGCAATTAAATCAGGTAGAACAGGAAACCAGCAGGCGGGACCTCGTAGGGTAAGAGTTGAGTATCCCTGCTGTAGAAAAAAAAATTGCATCTCCAAGTCACTCAACATACACTGCTCAAAAAAATAAAGGGAACACTTAAACAACACAATGTAACTCCAAGTCAATCACACTTCTGTGAAATCAAACTGTCCACTTAGGAAGCAACACTGATTGACAATACATTTCACATGCTGTTGTGCAAATGGAATAGACAACAGGTGGAAATTATAGGCAATTAGCAAGACACCCCCAATAAAGGACTGGTTTTGCAGGTGGTGACCACAGACCACTTCTCAGTTCCTATGCTTCCTGGCTGATGTTTTGGTCACTTTTGAATGCTGGCGGTGCTTTCACTCTAGTGGTAGCATGAGACGGAGTCTACAACCCACACAAGTGGCTCAGGTAGTGCAGCTCATCCAGGATGGCACATCAATGCGAGCTGTGGCAAGAAGGTTTGCTGTGTCTGTCAGCGTAGTGTCCAGAGCATGGAGGCGCTACCAGGAGACAGGCCAGTACATCAGGAGACGTGGAGGAGGCCGTAGGAGGGCAACAACCCAGCAGCAGGACTGCTACCTCCGCCTTTGTGCAAGGAGGAGCAGGAGGAGCACTGCCAGAGCCCTGCAAAATGACCTCCAGCAGGCCACAAATGTGCATGTGTCTGCTCAAACGGTCAGAAACAGACTCCATGCGGGTGGTATGAGGGCCCGACGTCCAAAGGTCGGGGTTGTGCTTACAGCCCAACACCGTGCAGGACGTTTGGCATTTGCCAGAGAACACCAAGATTGGCAAATTCGCCACTGGCGCCCTGTGCTCTTCACAGATGAAAGCAGGTTCACACTGAGCACATGTGACAGACGTGACAGAGTCTGGAGACGCCGTGGAGAACGTTCTGCTGCCTGCAACATCCTCCAGCATGACCGGTTTGGCGGTGGGTCAGTCATGGTGTGGGGTGGCATTTCTTTGGGGGGCCGCACAGCCCTCCATGTGCTCGCCAGAGGTAGCCTGACTGCCATTAGGTACCGAGATGAGATCCTCAGACCTCTTGTGAGACCATATTCTGGTGCGGTTGGCCCTGGGTTTCTCCTAATGCGAGACAATGCTAGACCTCATGTGGCTGGAGTGTGTCAGCAGTTCCTGCAAGAGGAAGGCATTGATGCTATGGACTGGCCCGCCCGTTCCCCAGACCTGAATCCAATTGAGCACATCTGGGACATCTTGTCTCGCTCCATCCACCAACACCACGTTGCACCACAGACTGTCCAGGAGTTGGCGGATGCTTTAGTCCAGGTCTGGGAGGAGATCCCTCAGGAGACCATCCGTCACCTCATCAGGAGCATGCCCAGGCGTTGTAGGGAGGTCATACAGGCACGTGGAGGACACACACTACTGAGCCTCATTTTGACTTGTTTTAAGGACATTACATCAAAGTTGGATCAGCCTGTAGTGTGGTTTTCCACTTTAATTTTGAGGGTGACTCCAAATCCAGACCTCAATGGGTTGATAAATTTGATTTCCATTGATAATGTGTGATTTTGTCAGCACATTCAACTATGTAAAGAAAAAAGTATTTAAGATTATTTAATTCATTCAGATCTAGGATGTGTTATTTTTGTGTTCCCTTTTTTTTTGAGCAGTGTATTTTAAAACACACTTAGGCCACAATTGCAAACCACTACTGTCCACTTTGGCTAGATGTAGCCCCTCAAACACATTAGTAGGTTGTGTGCTCGTTTTGCAATATATACAGCTGCATTTACACAGGCAGCCCAAATCCGATGCACAGAACTTTAGCCAATAATTGGGCAAAAGAACAGATTTGGGCTGCCTGTGTAAATGCAGCCATAAACAATATGAAAGCAACACTTGTCAACAAACAGTTTGAAAAGCTGTTTTAAATGAGTCATCTCAAATACATAGTGACTTAGTTGAAGGTATTTAGACAACCCCCCATGTGTATGCCAATAACTTTAAATTCAATTCCAAAACTAAATTAGCCATTTGATTAATTTAACACTAAAACAGTATCCATAAGTTACACATTAAAACAGAGATGGACACAAATTATAAACCAAAATGTTTATTTCTAACAATTTGCCAAAGACACTGGTGGAATGAAATTCCAGAGAGGCTGCAACCCCCTTGCAATATTTTGCAGGCTTTAAGCATCAACTAGATGTTCTATAAAATGCCACTTAACACAGGTCAAAATTAAAATGAATCCAAAATATACTGGTTGCTTCCGTCTACAAGCTGACATTCTCTACACAATCTTAAATGAATTCACATTTAGGTAAATCCCTTTTACATGATCGCCAATCCCACACAGAATTCCTTGTTGAAAGTCCCGTTGCCAGTTGCAGAGTCAGAAAATAAAGTAATCTAGAAACACCAGAAAAAAATTACTCAAAATTGCTTTATTTCAAAAGCTCTGACAGTTTCCGATTCACATGTAAATCCAGTCGACATGTAAAATACCATACAATACATTAGATTCAAAGGTACCAAAAAGTACAGTAAAAATTACACTTCCATCTCTGGAAATGTGGACCAAAAAAAAAGATAAAATAAAAACGTGGAAAAGTGACATTTGCTTCCCCAGTTCCTCAGATGGTCTGTACAAGTGGAGTGCAAGTCTGTCATCCCAAACGAAAGAATCAAGTCCTGCATACTTCTGCCACACCTCAGTCTCAAATCTGGATTACTTGAGTCCTTTAAGAGAGGAGAAAAAGGAATTGTTGCACACCACTTATGACAACCCCACCACCCTGCATCAAAGAGCAAACAGCTAGGGCAACAAGCATGCAAGAAGGGGGTGGATTAGGAAGCCAACGCTGCTGGTTAGAGTGGTCATAGCATAGCATTAAAGGGAAACAGCAGACATTGTTAAATTTGCTGTGCAGCTTTAAGCAGATAGTCTCCCATCTCCCACGCTAGAACACCCATTGTTTTGAACATGGTCCACCGCAACATCAACCCTTATTGATCCAGTAGTGTAGTTGTAGGGGTGCATCTTCGATGCAGATTGTGCTGGCAAATTTGAGGGTTTGAGGTTGTGTACTTTTAAAAACAAGTTTCCTGTCCCCAACAGAACTGTATTTTCTAAATCCAATTGATGAACAGTGGATAATTTCATTCTAATCCACAATTGCCTTCCCCTGGGCCAGACTAAATCGTGGCAAGGAATTGTTTGCATCAATGCCACAAATCTAACAGCTATATCGCACCACAATGTTACAAAGCACTAAAATGCATACCTGCACTACATGAGATCAGTATGGCTTGTAGCTACCCTGGTGGCCTCCACGTCTTGGAGTTTTCCCATAGCTTGTATTGCCCTGGTCTGCAGGAATAGAGAGAGAGGACTGAGTGCTTCTGTGCAAAGACAAGTCACATATAATCAGGTAGGCGCTTGCCAGAGGTCTGTATACTCACTGTAGTCGTAACCCCCTCCGTAGCCGCCTCCGTAGTATCCAGCGGCGTAGTCATAGTTGCCGTAAGCGCCATAGTTTCCATAGCCCTGCTGCCCACCATAGCCATAGCCCTGGTTGCCGTAACCCTGGTTCCAGTAGTTATTATAACCCTGGTTGCCATACTGGTTTTGGCCTGAGGGAAAGAAAGGTGGTTCCAAGTCAGACAAAGACTAAAAACGTATTTGTTTTGTTTTTAAATATTCCAGATATTTATGGTCCAGGGGATGGATGCCAATTAGCGATCCAATTTCTCAGATCCTTCCCCGCAACACCCGTCTTGCAGCCTTACACCGAATGTCTTCCTGCAGGTAGAATCCATTGGACCTTCAGACCTTGGAGCGCACAGACCTTCGTTTGAAATTAAACTAGCCGTATGCATCATACAAATACAAGGCCAACGTGTTTATGCCCTAGTCACTCATAACAAATACGTCAGACTGCTTGCTATAATACTCACCACCACGGCCCCTGCCTCCCCTGCCTCCCCCATAGCCGCCGCCACGGCCTCCAAACTGCTGCTGCTGGTACACCTCTTTGGGCTGGGCGATTTTGATCTCACACTGGGATGAAATCAAGGGGGATGTTTATTATACAGATGCTGCAAAGATGTCATGGCATGGAGTACAAACATGCAAGGGCTATTTACATTTACATCATTTAGCTGACGCTCTTATCCAGAGCGACTTACAGTTAGTGCATACATTATTTTTCATACTGGCCCCCCGTGGGAATCGAACCCACAACGCCATGCTCTACCAACTGAGCTACATCCCTGCCGGCCATTCCCTCCCCTACCCTGGGCCAATTGTGCACCACACATGGTGGCTTATTTTACACAAGTCACATTTTAAGTCCAAGCATTGGATTTTAGCTTAAAGCTCACGCTGGACCCCATCTCAGTCAGAGGACACTGCCAACACAATTTTAAAAAACTTGACAAATCTAGATATGAATTCTGACATGCAAAAATTAAATGTGTTCAAATTGATGAAACAAAGCATTCTAGTATTTTATCACCATGCAAACAGGTCTGAAACTCTTGCGAGCAATGTGAAAATGTCAGTGAGGATACATTATTTCAACCCAGGGTGCATGACCATGTCCCAAAGCATTTCACAGGGAATGAAGACTATGCACTAACAAAGTTGCATTTAGACAAGTCAGCATTTCATACACAAATAGGATGCTTAGCCAGTGATGTAGAACACACCCAAGCATGCACATCTCCACCTAAAGTAAGTAGAAAAATAAAGAAAATATACATACAAGGCCTTCCTTTCCATCCGTTACCGTGGTTCCACACACATTGTGGAACTTCTTCTCAAGGCATTTTTTAACGGTGGACTCCTCTTTGAACGTGATGAAGATAAACCCCCTCCTTTTTTTGAATTTGGGGTCCACTGGAAGTTCGATGGATTCAATCTGAAGGTTTGAAAAGAGAAATGAATAACACTGGGGGGGAAAAATCCAGCTACTGCAACACACAGGAGAGGCCATCATAGAACAATAGAAGGCTAATGACAAACCTCTCCAAAGGTACCAAAGTATTCTCTGATGGTCTCCTCTGTGGCTTCTGGGTTTAGACCACCAACGAAGATCTTCTTGGCTGGCTCCTTCTTCATCGCCATCGCCTTCTTCGGATCTATCTGTCGTCCATCTAGCCTGTGTTCTTTCTGCTCAAGAACCTTCAAGGTAAAAATAAAATAAAAAATAAAGTTGTCTACAAAGTCCAACTTGTCACAATGTAAAATATCAAATCATGTCACCTTTCCCATGGCACACACCTTGTCTACACTTGCTGCTGCTTTGAACAAGATGAACCCAAACCCGCGTGACCTTCCTGTGTTTGAGTCCATCTTGATGGTACAATCTGTGACCTCTCCAAATTTGGAGAAGTAGTCTTTCAGGTCTTTTTTGCTAGTGTCCCAGCTAAGTCCACCAACAAACATTTTGCTGCAGAGAAACACAGATCAGTAAAGCATTGAGGACAATGCTCATACACTGACAACTGAGCAGCCACTTAAATTTCATTAACATTTTATATTATGCGTGTTCGGGGGGTGGGGGGCACACATGGAGGCTTACAAACTTGTACAGGCCAATAACAAAAACTGGGAGTTCACACACTTCGGTTGCATCACTGCAACTCAAAACACCGATTGTTTAAGTATAACTGAATGTGGACATGGCGCCAAGACTAAACAAAAGAAACATGTAACGTTAATGCTAAAACAACCATACAGAAATTTACCCAGCGTCATCCTCGCCTTTGCTTGCATTTATCTGTCCACCCTCTGCCGCTCCGTTCTGAGCGTCCACTTCCTCCACCGCAGCCTCTTCCTCGCAACTCTGTTTCTCTTGTTCCTCCGCCTCGGGCTGTTCTGTGGAATCTTCTGCTCCATTCAGCTCTTCGGCTTCGTTTCCATTTTCGGAGGTCTCCATGAATTGCTGCTCAGCGTCGTCAGACATTGTGATCGCCTACCATGGGGATAAAGGAAATGCTAACTAGCTGTTGGCTAACATTACCTACATTTGTTGTAGACAACCGTGCACATTCAAACGCAGGCCATAAAGCTAACCGGCTTCTCTGGCTAGTTAACGTTAGCGTGCTAACAAACGGTACACAATCACATTTGACGAGTTGATAAAATACCATAGCCAACGTTTTGATTTGTATTCGAGTTACTTATTACGCATTCAAGCAAACTGTACAGAAACAATTCAAATGTCAGCGATAAACTTCTATACAGATCTAGCTAGCTAGTTGGTTATTCTGTTAGTGTTTGCGGCCTGCCAGTGCCTGACTTGAAATTCGAGTTAGCAATAGCTAACGTCAAGGTAGCTATACCTTATTTAGCTAGCTAGATGCCGGGTGACATACATCGTTGAATCACAGCACTCAATGCGTGCGAGGTAAACAAATACAAACAGCGCTTACCGTTTAAAATTTAGCAAGGTCCCGGAGGATGCTTTTCAAGATGGATACTCTCCGATTCCGCGAGCTAACTCGTGGCAAGCTTTATACTACCGGAAGAGAGCGCCCCTGTAAGAAGGAATCCACGATTGGGTATCTAAAGTTGTCATCGTGATAATGGTGTTTTCCTATTGGCTTTTTTAGCAAAAAGGTGCCACCTACTTACCGCAACTCACACGAGATGTTCCTCCTAGCAACGAACCTAAATATTCCTTCCGGAAGCTCCCAAGCCTTCAAACCCACACCATTGGCCGTTCGATAGCCAATGGGCTCTCAGCAACGCTTCCACCGCCGCATCCAAGGAGAAGTACACAAGAGATCCACATAGCACATTGGGGGCGATAAAACAGGGGGACCAACGTTGGAATAAACTGAATTTTGTTGAAATACTCCGCGACATCGCGTTGAGATTGACCAATCGAAGCTCACTATAGTTTACAGCCCCTACTGGATTGGCTGTTGATATCTAGCGCTACCTACCATGCTTGAGGGGGAAGCAAGCATGACTGATCTCTGCCGGCAGTCTGCCTGCTGCATCTAAAGCGGCAAAGTAGTTAGCTAGCTACCGGCTGCGTAGCAAGACTGCAGAAATTCAGCCAGCTCCGATTGACTGACAGATAGCGAGCAAACTAGCTAACGAATTAGGATTAAAAATAGAATTGCAGGTTTTTAGATACAACAACAACAGTTATGCTGGTGATGGATTGCCTCTCCCAGTCTGTATAGTTGCATTGTGTCCTGCTAAAGTTACCATGTCCGCCAAGGCAGAGCCTGTCCTTGCCTTTCTGCCGCCCTAGGGGAGACCAAAAATGCTGCCCCTGCAAAACTAGAATAGTCCCAGTAAGCAAAATGAAGTTGAAAAGACGTCTAAAATACATATTTTCCAGACATTGACTTTAGGTTCAATGTAGGTTCTGAATGAAAGGTGAAATACGTATTTTCTGGATGCTGAAAGGGCATTAAAGACGTTGAAAAATACGTATTTCCCGGACGTTGAAATCAGGTTCATTTTCAGTTCTGAATGAATGTTGACAATACTTATTTTCTGGAAGTTGAAAATACGTATTTTCCAGATATTGATTTTTTTGTATTTTCCGGATTTTGAAATCAGGTTCATTTTTGGTTCTGAATGAAAGTTGAAAAGATGTCATTTATAGACGTCTACGTTTGACTGGTCCAGACTGGACCAAATCTGAACCAAACATAGACATCTACGATAGGTTCAGATCTGGTCTGGATCGGATCAAAAATCAATGTCCGTGTACGTTGAAATCAAGGCCGGTCTGGACCGCACCAAATCTGAAGCAAACATAGACGTCTATGATGGTTCAGATTTGGACCAGACCAAAAACCAATGTCCATGGATGTGACAATCAAGGCCGGTCCGGACTGCATCAAAAATAGACGTCCAAAAGGCGTCGGCGTCAGTCTGGGGTGTAGCCTACCATGTGGGCCAGCAATGGAATTTTATGAATTTTACCATTTGTAAAACAGGCCGTTGCATTGTCTTTATTAGTCCTGATTCCTGTGACTAATCACTTTGGCTATTTAAGCTCTGAATATCAGCTACTCAACTTTTTACGATTTATCGTGAGCCTATTTGCAATGTGTGTACACAGCACAAAATGCAGGGGTATTTTCTTTTTCGCTATGATCTGCACAGGGAATGGACAAGCAAAATATTTTGCGCCACTGCCTTTGACAAATTGCCCACTGCTTATCACAGGGCGGTATCAGTGCTCACCTAAAAACCCCATATGCCACTGGTAGAGAGAAATTGTCATTGTTTTGGGGCAGAATTATGTGAGGTTTTATGTGTTGTTGTTGGTGCGTCTTGGTCAGTTTAGCTCAGAAAATGCCGCCCTCGTCAATCTGCTGCCTAATCCTGCCTAATGAGCGGAACGGCCGTGCAAGGGGTTGATAACAATGATGTACATACAGTGCCTTCGGAAAGTATTCAGACCCCTTGACTTTTTCCAAATTTTGTTAGGTTACAGCCTCATTCTAAAATTGATTAAATTGGTTTTCCCCCTCATCAATCTACAGACAATACCCCATAATTACAAAACAAAAACAGGTTTGTATAAATTATTGCAAATTTATAGAAAAAAACAAACAGAAATATCACATTTACATAAGTATTCAGACACTTTACTCAGTACTTTGTTGAAGCACCTTTGGCAGTGATTACAGCTTCGAGTCTTCTTGGGTATGACGCTACAAGCTTGGCACACCTGTATTATTAGCACTACCTCTTTGTTCAGCGGCAGCTGTCTGCGGCAGCTGTCCCCAAAACGAAGACTGTCCCTGAAACAAAGACAGTTCTGCCAAGTTGTTCTGCGGGAGTTAGTCGAGGGAGGCCCCGCTCTCTCGCTTCCCCAGATGTTTAGTTAATTTTATTCTGATCTCTTTTGCATTATTGTAGCCTTTTCTGTAGCCTGTCAACTATGTGTCTGTCTATCCCTGTTCTCTCCTCTCTGCACAGGCCATACAAACACTTCACACCACGTGGCTGTTGCCACTCTAATCTGGTGGTCCCTGCGCGCACGACCCACGTGGAGTTCCAGGTCTCCGGCAGCCTCTGGAACTGCCGTTCTGCGGCCAACAAGGCAGAGTTCATCTCAGCCTATGCTACCCTCCAGTCTCTCGACTTCTTGGCGCTGACGGAAACATGGATTACCACAGAAAACACTGCTACTCCTACTGCTCTTTCCTCGTCTGATCATGTGTTCTCGCATACCCCGAGAGCATCTGGTCAGCGCGGCGGTGGCACAGGAATCCTCATCTCTCCCAAGTGGACATTCTCTCTTTTCCCCCTGACCCATCTGTCTATCTCCACATTTGAATTCCATGCTGTCACTAACCCATTCAAGCTTAACATCCTTGTCATTTATCGCCCTCCAGGTTCCCTTGGAGAGTTCATCAATGAGCTTGACGCCTTGATAAGTTCCTTTACTGAGGATGGCTCAACCCTCACAATTCTGGGTGACTTTAACCTGCCAACGTCTGCCTTCGACTCATTTCTCTCTGCCTCCTTCTTTCCACTCCTTTCCTCTTTTGACCTCACCCTCTCACCGTCCCCCCCTACTCACAAGGCAGGCAAAACGCTTGACCTCATCTTTACTAGATGCTGTTCGTCTACTAATCTCACTGCAACTCCCCTCCAAGTCTCTGACCACTACTTTGTATCCTTTTCTCTCTCGCTCTCCTCCAACACTACTCACTCTGCCCCTACTCAGATGGTAATGCACCGTCGCAACCTTCGCTCTCTCTCTCCCGCTACTCTCTCCTCTTCCATCCTATCATCTCTTCCCTCTGCTAAATCCTTCTCCCTCCGGTCTCCTGATTCTGCCTCCTCGACCCTCCTCTCCTCCCTTTCTGCATCTTTTGACTCTCTCCGGCCGGCTCGGTCTGCCCCTCCTGCTCCGTGGCTTGACGACTCATTGCGAGCTCACCGAACAGGCCTTCGGGCAGCCGAGCGGAAATGGAGGAAAACTAGACTCCCTGCGGACCTGTCATCTTTTCACTCCCTCCTCTCTACTTTTTCTTCATCGGTTTCTGCTGCTAAAGCCACATTCTACCACTCTAAATTTCAAGCCTCTGCTTCTAGCCCTAGGAAGCTCTTTGCCACCTGCTCCTCCCTGCTGAATCCTCCTCCTCCCCCTCCCTCCTCCCTCTCTGTGGATGAATTACGTCAACCATTTTGAAAAGAAGGTTGACGACATCCGATCCTCATTTATTAAGTTAAATGACACCGCTGGTCCTGCTCACACTGCCCTACCCTATGCTTTGACTTCTTTCTCCCCTCTCTCTCCAGATGAAATCTTGCGACTTGTGACGGCCGGCTGCCCAACAACCTATACGCTTGACCCTATCCCCTCCTCTCTTCTCCAGACCATTTCCGGAGACCTTCTCCCTTACCTCACCTCGCTCATCAACTCATCCTTGACCGCTGGCTATGTCCCTTCCGTCTTCAAGAGGGCAAGAGTTGCACCCCTCCTCAAAAAACCTACACTCGATCCCTCCGATGTCAACAATTACAGACCAGTATCCCTTCTTTCTTTTCTCTCCAAAACTCTTGAGCGTGCCATCTCTAGCCAACTCTCCTGCTATCTCTCTCAGAATGACCTTCTTGATCCTAACCAGTCAGGTTTCAAGACTGGTCATTCAACTGAGACTGCTCTTCTGTCACGGAGGCTCTCCGTACTGCCAAAGCTAACTCTCTCTCCTCTGCTCTTATCCTTCTAGACCTATCTGCTGCCTTTGATACTGTGAACCATCAGATCCTCCTCTCCACCCTCTCCGAGTTGGGCATCTCTGGCGCTGCTCACTCTTGGATTGCGTCCTACCTGACAGGTCGCTCCTACCAGGTGGCGTGGCGAGAATCTGTCTCCGCACCACGTGCTCTCACCACTGGTGTCCCCCAGGGCTCAGTTCTAGGCCCTCTCCTATTCTCTATATACACCAAGTAACTTGTCTCTGTCATATCCTCACATGGTCTCTCCTATCATTGCTACGCAGACGACACACAATTCATTTTCCCCTTTCCCCCTTCTGATAACCAGGTGGCGAATCGCATCTCTGCATGTCTGGCAGACATATCAGTGTGGATGTCGGATCACCACCTCAAACTGAACCTCGGCAAGACAGAGCTGCTCTTCCTCCCGGGGAAGGACTGCCCGCTCCATGATCTCGCCATCACGGTTGACAACTCCATTGTGTCCTCCTCCCAGAGTGCAAAGAACCTTGGCATAACCCTGGACAACACCCTGTCGTTCTCTGCTAACATCAAAGCGGTGACCCGATCCTGCAGGTTCATGCTCTACAACATTCGCAGAGTACGACCCTACCTTACACAGAAAGCGGCACAGGTCCTAATCCAGGCACTTGTCATCTCCCATCTGGATTACTGCAACTCGCTGTTGGCTGGGCTCCCTGCCTGTGCCATTAAACCCCTGCAAGTTAGCCAGAACGCTGCAGCCCGTCTGGTGTTCAACCTTCCCAAGTTCTCTCACGTCACCCCGCTCCTCCGCACACTCCACTGGCTTCCAGTTGAAG